ATGTTTATTAAAACTTGAGTACTTTGACTTTGTTTGCCTACATTTTAAAGAGCATTTTGACTTTGTTTTCTTACATTTTCATTAATAGAAGAAGCGAATTTTTCACTGACAATTTTAGAAACCAGTGGAAACCAATTCTTTAATTAACATCTGGGTTTACACTAAAAGAAATTGTTCCGGATTCGCGACAAATCCAGACGTTTTAGTACCGGGTTGCTTTTGCCGTTCACACACAAGTGTTACGAATCCGAGGTAAAACCTAGCCAGATTGGTCGTTTCTCCAGAGATTTAAAATCCAGGATAAAAGAAGGAAATTTAAATCCCTAAACTTTTGAATCGGGAGAGCTTTGTCAGGCAAACGATTTTCTTTTGAATCCGGATTTTTTTCCGCCCGCTGCTCTTTCCGCCTGACTTTGAAAATAAAGTTTTAGACCGTCTCAACCTATCCCCAGCCTTCGTTTTTTTGCGGCGTTTTTGCTTCACCTTTTTGAGGCAACAAACATTTTGGTAACCATTCCATTATGAATGTTCCTGGAGTTATCGTCGTGTGTAAACCGTTAGAAATCCCAATATTCTTTGAGGGTAAACGCTTATGAACCCGAGTACTTAAGAATCGAAGAATTCGAAAACATTTATTAATCCGAAAAAAATATCTCTAGTGTAAACCTAGTCTAAAAAAATATAAATGCGCCCCCTGGATATATTAAAAAAAATAGGTCACTTATGGGTTCAACACGACTTCACGGTGTACAAATCTCAATTTATTCATAAATGGATCTATCACAGTGCTATATTCATTCCTTGTAAGTGTTTTATATATCATTATTAATTTCAGCTGTTTATCTTATAGAATGAGTGACGTGAACTACGGAATTACAAATGAAATGAAAATGAAATGTGGTCATTGACGCAAATTAATCCCGCAAAAAAAAAAAAAAAAAAAAAAAAAAACAGTTTATCTAAATTTTCGTTTTAATAAAAGAGATTTGATAATTACTTTTGCACGTCCCAGTTTTACGCTTAAAAAGA